CATTGTTTTTTAAAAAAGGTTTTTATTACCAAACTGCCAAACCATGAAATATATATCTTAATCTAAAATATAACAATACCTTATTTAACTTAGCAAAAAATGGAATTATATACCTTTATAAAACTAAAAACACTTGCTACTGATATAAATTATGAAAATTACTTTAACAATGATATATTAGATGTGAATATAAAAGTGGTTACAAAACATGGCAAAAAAATATTAAAAAGAAAAATAAATTAGTTAAAATGTATTACTTTTATTTATGATTTATTTTAGATATGAAAGGGATTAAATATACATTTACATACAAATAGGCACAAAGTTAACACATTGAGTTACAAGGTGTTTTATTTTATAATCAGTAAATGCACTAATACATATTTATTCAAAACAAATATCTAAGTCATTGTAGTGTTATTTTTTTTTTGTAATCATATATTGTAATTTGAATTCCAAGAATGAATTTGATTGACAAGTTTCAATATATTGAATTTGTTTGATTTTTTGAAATCCAATGCCTTGGCAACCGAAAATAGCTTTGTACGCAATTTTTCTTTCTCAATGCCTTCAGAAAAGCGTTCTTGAATCATTTCAAAATAGTTTGGAAAATGTTTCTTATAAAAAGGCATGTTCAATTCCATATTTTCACGTAGACTTGTTGATTCATTGCATAGATAGCCCGCTAACCTGATTTGGTCATTTTCTAACAAGAAACTAAGCAATGTAATATTGGATTTACCAAGAAGATGATTCTTCATTATAGCAACTTGACTCTTGCAGCTATTCATCCATTCAATCAGATTATTTTGCAACTGAATATTTTTAGGCAAACTATATGTTGGGCGCCATAGAACAAAATATGATATCATTAATTTTACGAAAGGCATATTTCTAAATACACTATCAACGACCACTCCAGACATAAAAAAATTGAATAAATTAAAATGAGTAGAGTATCTTAATAACCGTTTTATAACCAGATTTTCTCTGATATCAGAGATATCTCTTATCATTATAATTTCAATGGCGGCAAGTTTCAAAGGTAAATTTCCATAATTGGTTTTGATATTAGCGTCAGCTCCAGCATCTAATAGAGTGTGAATGATGACTGGATTTAAAGTAAAAGAAGCTTTAAACAACGCGGTCTCATTATCTTGATTTTTTGCATTTATTGAAGCGCCAGCTTGTATTAATAGTTTTGCTATTTCATCGCTTTCATTATTTATCGTCGAAGCTAAAGGTGCATCACCAAAAATACATTTTTTATTAACATCAGCTCCTGATTTGATCAAGAAACTTACCACTTCTCGAGACTCATATAAGCATGCATGATGTAAAAGGGTTCTATCAGATACATCCTTTTTGCCCATATTAGCTCCAGCTTCTAACAATAGCTTGAAATTTTCAGATTTCTTCGATTGAATTGAATAAAAGATTGCTGTAAGCTGATTTTGGCAGCTCGCTTCTAAATCAAGCTTTAGTTTTAAAAGATAATTTAAGAAGTTTGCATCACATATCTTAGAAGCATTCATTAATGGTGTTTTCCCCCAACGATCAGGTAGATTACAATCTGCCCCTGCAATAATCAGGTATCGGAATATTTGAAAATTGTGAGTTTGGATAGCTTTCTGAAGTGGAGTTATTTTATTCCCATTCCTGGCATTTATGTCTGCACCCTTTTCTAATAATTTTCTACAAAGGTATTCGTTACCTAGAGCGGCAGCTATATGCAGTGGGGAGTCTAAATCATCGATTAAATGCCAAAGAATTACAAGTTTTCCTTCAAATATATTAGGTTGACTTTTTAAATATTCAAAGTAGTTACTAATTAAATTCCTGTCATATTTAAAATTTACCTCAATTCCCTCTTCTATTATCATATCTACTTCTTCGAGGTTTAACAGAATAATATTATGCAAAAATTTCATTTTTGAATCCATTATAAAAATTGAATCCATTATAAGTGAGATTTATTTTCATATGTTTAAATTTTAATTATGAATTTGAATTATTAATTGATACACTAACAATGAGTTTCTGAATTTTGAAAACGCATCTAAGCAAAAACATAAATCAAATCTGCAAAACTAATAAATTAATATATATTCTGTGTGTTTATATAATAAAATTCCAATTTTTTTATATTTTAATTTTTAATATTAATATTCAAATTTTTTTGTTATAACAAAAAATCATAATAGTTCGCTTTGACTATATAAATAAACAATTTATTTTTTGCAAATAATTAATAAATGCTTAAAGATTTAATCGCGATAAAAATATCCACTTGTAAGGAGTAAATATGAATCATTGAAGAAGAATTTAAAAAAAGAGGGATTGGTCAGCGAACATCTATAAATTGAACGAGGCTTAGTAATGTTCTATGTATTTCTACATACTTGAGATCTTCAATCACGATTTCTACTGTAACTAATAAACACAATAGAAACATCCACTTAAAAGGATACGTTCACAACCTTTTTATAATCAAACAGGGCGATTGTTAATAGTGGTAATATAAGGCAATAATTCTGATACAGGTCAGTGCTGAGTCATGCTAAGTCTGATTGGAATATGGTGTTGTTGTCGTTAACAATTGAGGTCTTAGATATATTCATGTATCTCTATTCCTGCAGTGGAAATGTCCTCTATCTTGGGTGCGTAAAGCTATTTTCTGGGTCCATGTCAATTTTCTGCAAGGCTGCGGCGTTTGCTACTCATGAGAATATGAGGGTAGATTTCAGTTTCATACCAGGACAATTGTCCTGTAGGTTCTTGTGATATCTGTATGTATTGTCATTTATTTATAATGTTTCATTCTGAGTCTCATGATTGATTTTTTATAATGATTTCAGGGTGTTTCTGTTGCATATTTTTCCTTTTCTTGCTTTTGTTGGAATATTTTGGATTATACCAAAGATTCAGCATCAAATATTAAATACTAGACGAATGGCCCGGGCAACGCCCGGGTTTTACCCGAGTGCGTATATATTTCAAAAACGTTTTAATTCAAATTCTATTCGTTACAATTAAAAATTGGCGCCATGGATGTCACTCTTGTGAAACGTCCCGTTCCAAACTGTGTGTGTCTTGAAAATATAAAAATAAAAATGTGAATTTTCATAAAGATTTCATCATGTCTATATTTTTTTTGCATTTCACCTACTAAATCGATATAGATAATTACATTTGCAACATGAACTTAGGTATATTGACTAAATAGAAAACTGCATAATAATAAAGATCATTTTTTTAAAGGCACCATATCGTTTTTTTCAATAAAATCGAAACAAAAATTGCCTTAAAAAAAAGAAACATTCGTGGTGATTTTGTCTTGCATTCGTTTATAAAATTATTATATATATTGGCATCATATATTAACTTTATGAACGGAAAAATATGTCCAGGGTAGCCTAGTGGTCATGGCATCTGCCCGGTAAGCAGAAGGTCGTGGGTTCGATTCCCATCCCTTGACACTTTTTATTTTATCCATTCTGACCAAAATCTATCCGTGAACTTCACACAGACAGAATAAGGCAATTATATAAGTAGATTATAAAAATAGAAGCTTCTATAGAAATGACTAAAATAAGCCGAAATAGCTCAGTTGGAGAGCGTTAGACTGAAGATCTAAAGGTCCCTGGTTCGATCCCGGGTTTTGGCATCTTTTTTTAATATTTTAAATTTTTAAAATGATGACAGAATTGATGACTCTGATGACTTTGACCAAAATCTATCCGTGAACTTCACACAGTGAACTTCACACAGACAGAATAAGGCAATTATATAAGTAGATAATAATAATTATTAACATTAGATAATGATAATGATCATAATGATGATGCGCGCGTTGATGACCAAAATCTATCCGTGAACTTCAGACAGTGACTTCACACAGACAGAATAAGGCAATTATATAAGTAGATAATAATAATATTATTATTATTATTATCATTAGATAATGATATTGATCATAATGATGATGAGCGCGTTGATGACCAAAATCTATCCGTGAACTTCAGACAGTGAACTTCACACAGACAGAATAAGGCAATTATATAAGTAGATAATAATAATAATTATTATTAAATTATTATTATTATCATTAGATAATGATAATGATCATAATGATGATGAGCGCGTTGATGACCAAAATCTATAGTAAACTTCAGACAGTGAACTTCACACAGACAGAATAAGGCAATTATATAAGTAGATAATGATAATGATCATAATGATGATGCGCGCGTTGATGACCAAAATCTATCCGTGAACTTCAGACAGTGAACTTCACACAGACATAATAAGGCAATTATATAAGTAGATAATAATAATAATAATTATTATTATTATTAAAATTAGATAATGATAATGATCATAATGATGATGAGCGCGTTGATGACCAAAATCTATCCGTGAACTTCAGACAGTGAACTTCACACAGACAGAATAAGGCAATTATATAAGTAGATAATAATAATAATTAATATTATTATTATCATTAGATAATGATAATGATCATAATGATGATGCGCGCGTTGATGACCAAAATCTATCCGTGAACTTCAGACAGTGAACTTCACACAGACAGAATAAGGCAATTATATAAGTAGATAATAATAATAATTATTATTATTATTATTATCATTAGATAATGATAATGATCATAATGATGATGCGCGCGTTGATGACCAAAATCTATCCGTGAACTTCAGACAGTGAACTTCACACAGACAGAATAAGGCAATTATATAAGTAGATTATATATATTGGCATCATATATTAACTTTATGAACGGAAAAATATGTCCAGGGTAGTCTAGTGGTCATGGCATCTGCCCGGTAAGCGGAAGGTCGTGGGTTCGATTCCCATCCCTTGACACTTTTTATTTTATCCATTCTGACCAAAATCTATCCGTGAACTTCACACAGACAGAATAAGGCAATTATATAAGTAGATTATAAAGATAGAAGCTTCTATAGAAATGACTAAAATAAGCCGAAATAACTCAGTTGGGAGAGCGTTAGACTGAAGATCTAAAGGTCCCTGGTTCGATCCCGGGTTTCGGCATCTTTTTTTAATATTTTAAATTTTTAAAACGATGACAGAATTGATGACTCTGATGACTCTGACCAAAATCTATCCGTGAACCTCACACAGTGAACTTCACACAGACAGAATAAGGCAATTATATAAGTAGATAATAATAATTATTAACATTAGATAATGATAATGATCATAATGATGATGCGCGCGTTGATGACCAAAATCTATCCGTGAACTTCAGACAGTGAACTTCACACAGACAGAATAAGGCAATTATATAAGTAGATAATAATAATAATTATTATTATTATTATCATTAGATAATGATAATGATCATAATGATGATGCGCGCGTTGATGATCAAAATCTATCCGTGAACTTCAGACAGTGAACTTCACACAGACAGAATAAGGCAATTATATAAGTAGATAATAATAATAATTATTATTATTATTATTATCATTAGATAATGATAATGATCATAATGATGATGCGCGCGTTGATGATCAAAATCTATCCGTGAACTTCAGACAGTGAACTTCACACAGACAGAATAAGGCAATTATATAAGTAGATAATAATAATAATAATTATTATTATTATTATCATTAGATAATGATAATGATCATAATGATTATGAGCGCGTTGATGACCAAAATCTATCCGTGAACTTCAGACAGTGAACTTCACACAGACAGAATAAAGCAATTATATAAGTAGATAATAATAATAATAATAATTATCATTAGATAATGATAATGATCATAATGATGATGAGCGCGTTGATGACCAAAATCTATCCGTGAACTTCAGACAGTGAACTTCACACAGACAGAATAAGGCAATTATATAAGTAGATAGTTCTTTGTCTCATCACTCTTCCTGGCGTCCTTTGCTAGTTAACCGCTACTTCATTATCCACGATCTACTTATATATTTGCCTTATTCTGTCTGTTTGTTTGTCTGTCTGAAGCTCACGGATGGGATTCTTCATAACCACGGTGGTTCAGTGGTAGAATGCTCGCCTGCCACGCGGGCGGCCCGGGTTCGATTCCCGGCCGATGCATTTTTTTTTTTTTTACAATTTTTAAAACTCATTTATATATTATACAAGAATGACATCCACGGCGCCAATTTATAATTGTAACGAATAGTATTTGAACAAAAGCATTTAATCGGGTAAAACCCGGGCGTTGCCCGGGTCATTCGTATATAATAATTGTATAAACTAATGCAAGACAAAATCACTGCGAATGTTTCTTTTTTTAAGGCAATTTCTTTTTAAGGCAATTGTCGTTATTTATCGTTAATTTTTTTTCGATTTTATTGAAAAAAAAACGATATGGTGCCTTTAAAAATGATCTTTATTACTATGCAGTTTTCTATTTAGTCAATATACCTAAGTTCATGTTGCAAATGCAATTATCTCTATCGATTTAGTAGGTGAAATGCAAAAAAAAATCGACATGATATAATCATATGAAAATTCACATTTTTATTTTTATATTTTCAAGACACACACAGTTTGGGGCGGGACGTTTCACAAGAGAGACATCCACGGCGCCAATTTATAATTGTAACGAATAGTATTTTAATTAAAACGTTTTAAAAACACACAGTTTGGAACGCGACGTTTCACAAGAGTGACATCCATGGCGCCAATTTATAATTGTAACGAATAGTATTTGAATTAAAACGTTTTTAAAATATATACGCACTCGGGCAAACCCGGGCGTTGCCCGGGCCATTCGTCTAGTATAAACATATGAGAAAATTCAATGTAGAATGCAGTTTTTCCTGAATAGTTCCAGTTGGTTTAGTAACGAGTGTATTAGGATATCCATACATTGATAGGGTAGGATTTGAAGACACATAATAGTATAGAAGCTAGAATAATAAAAAGCGTTTTTATATTTATTCAATTACAAAGCATTTTCTTACCTCATTATGTTTATACATATTCTTAATTAGAAGTGTTCGAAAATTCAACAGTGTTACCTTGTGTTTCTAAGCTGTAATCCAAATTGTATCTTACAAGGAGTGGTCGTGTTCAGGAGATCTATTTGATGAGGGCCAGTGGTGCGACCTAGAGCTCCTGGAGGCTTACACCGCGCGGTTCTACAAAATCTTCTCCGTCCCTGACACTACAGAACTCTGGGTGGTTCCAGGAAACCACGACATTGGCTTCCATTACAAGTAACCCTGACTGCTCTTGTTGCCACATTGTTTCTCTTTATCTGAATATGCACTCTCTATTATTGACCATTTCTATGTTTTGTCGTTACTTATCCCTAGTACATGTTCTACAGGCCATGATAATCATGATGGGTAGTTAGTGACTGATTTCATTGTAAGTGCACCATGCATGTCTACACACGTTGAAAAGCAACTTTGACTTTTGCACTTACCTGTTGCTGATAAGGTACAATTTGGATTACTACTCTGATCAAAAAGTTTCGACACTTTGCTCATAAGTTAAAAAAAAACCTTTATTATTCTACCAAATTCAAATTTTCCCCTTCAAAGCAGTCCCCGTTGGCCGCGATGCACTTCAGCCACATTTTTTCCAGTCGGCAAAACACCTCTGGTAGTCTGTATTCGGGATCGCCTTCATGGCCTTCTTCGATTCCACTTTGATCTCTTCTATGCTCTGAAATTTCCGACCCTTTAACTTTTTTTGAGCTTTCCAAAAAGTAAGAAGTCGCAGGAGGACAAATCGGGACTGTAGGGGGGTTGGGGGAACACAGAGGTTGAGTGGTCCTGCAGGAACTTCGAGATTTTGAGGGCTGTGTGCGCCGGCGCGTTATCGTGGTAGAGGATCCACGACTTGCTTCTCCACAGCTCCAGCCGTTTCTGCCTGATCGCCTCCCTCAAGCGCCTCAAAACTCCCAGGTAGGAGTCAGCAGTTATTGTAGAGCCTTGTTGTTGAAATATATGACGAACGATGCCCTGGTAGTTGAAGAACACCGTCAACATGACCTTGACTTTGCTGGGAGCCTTCCTCGCTTTCTTTGGTCTCGGCTCATTTTTGAAGTGCCACTCCGATGCCTGTTGGGTAGTTTCCGAATCAAATCCATGTTTCTTCTCCAGTAATGACCCTCTTCAGCAATTCGGGGTCGTCGTTTGTCGCTTCGAGATTGAGACTGGCCGTTTCCTTCCGGGCGTTCTTTTGATCAAAAGTCAAATCTTTGGGAACGAGAACGCGGCGTTGAGTCTTCTCACTCCCAAAATGTCCTTCATTATCGATTGAGTCGACCCGAATGATATACCTGCTTCTTCGGCGACCTCCCTGACAGTTATTCTTCGGTCTTCACGCACCAGTTCCAACACCTTGTCTACTTTTTCAGGTGTGGTTGATGTGGACGGTCACCCGGAAGCTCGTTGTCGGCGGTCTCTTCCTGACCCTCCTTGAAGCGCTTGTACCACTCGAAAACTCGTCTTCAGCTCATGACGGTATCCCCGTAGGCTGTTTGCAACATCCAAAAAATGTAGGCACCCTTGAATCTGTTTTTCACACAGAACTTTATGCAAATTCGTTGATCCTCCATTTTGGTGACTAACGAAATCGAAGCACGGGCAAAATGGCTTCACTTCGAACAGCCGCTGCTCGCGCTGTTGTGGCGTGTGATTTTTAAAATTGGCAGGTCTCCAAGCCAAGGGCGACGCTTGCGTTTGCCACAAACCTGGAGAGAATATATTGAGTTTTCAGGATTTTATGAGCAAAGTGTCGAAATTTTTTGATCAGATTAGTATAAATTAGATACACTAGGTAATTTGTTACCTTGAACTACTTACACTTCAGGGATACGGAGGAGCTGTGTTTGTACTCATGTTAGATTCAACAGCAAAGGCTTCCATGTTAGGAACAGCCTCGAACTACAGGCAAAGTCAGACTTTCACCAAAGTGTTTGCCTGGATCATGGTGCCATGATCAACAAAAGCTGAACCCTTACACCCCATTCCATGAGATCACTCATGGAATTCGTGTAATCTTTACAAAAAGGGATAAGAAACAACAACAACAGATACACTAGGTAATAACACCAAATCTAAATAAATAAACTGTGTTTGATGTTTTGGTAACAGTGTTGTTACCCAAACATCACAGTTTATTTGGATTTGGTGTTATTACCTTATGTTACCTGATGCTGTTCACTTACTTTCACTTGCAGGTGGGGATGGGCTTTTGCAAGAGTCTGAGGCTATTGGAGCAGAAAAGAATTATCAATTTTATCAATAGTACCCTGTAAGAATTACTGATCCAAGGATACAGGATGATTTGTACTCCATGTTAGGAGCGGCTGTACATGGCGTCTGTTCCTCATGTCAGAGGCGGCTATTTCTTTTGGAGCTAAGTCAGCCTGCCACTGAGTAGTGCTCCCAGTCTTAATGACAAATGCATTCTACTACACCCAGTCATGATGGTTGTCAAATTCTACAAGCTTGATACCCTAATAAGATTGAGTAGAGATAAGAAAAAAAAAGAAGATTGTATTTTCTCAAAGGAAGGAGGTCAGCAAACTGTTTTTGTTTTTTATCCCCTTGTGTAAAGATTAGACAGATTCCACAAGTCCATGCTTCTCGAGCAAATTGTGCAGGTTAAAAATATAAACTCTGCTAGAAATCTCCCTTGAGAGACCATATAAAAAGCATAGATACAGTAGATATTTCATGAGAGGACACCTCTCTTTAATGGACAGTTAACATAGAAAATATTACTATTCTTGCAAATTAGCTATTGTCCAGTATACGGGGACACCTATCTTTGAAGAAAACTTTGGCTCTGCAACTAAGTGTTTTTTTATTATTATCCCTAGTACACGTGGTACAGGCCATGATAATCATGGTAGGTAGAAGTAGGTGACTGCTTTTACTGTAAGTGCACCACACATGTAAAAAGCAGTTCGACTTTGCACTTACAAATGTGCCAGAGCCCCATTTGGGCAACTAAGTGTTGTCCTCTATAGTGAGGTTCTACTGTATTCTTGATTTATTTTGGAGATGGACATAATCGTAGTTTGGGT